GTCCATTTTTCCCAACTATGGGCAGGACTTATATGATTGTTAAAATTCACATAAGACCATGGATATTGCCGTTGCTCAACCCCAAATCGCAGAATCATATCAGCAGGGATGCGAGGAGCTAGGCTAATTTCAACTTCCTCCTCCATCAACTCAACCACTTCAAGTGGTTCGCTAGCGACCACAGACTTGCTCGCTCGATGCCAAAACAAGTCACTCTTTCCAAAGAATGGTGCCCGTCGCCATTCCGAATCTACTGGCACCTTTGGAGGAAGGCAATCCTTCTTGCATAACTCTTATTTCTTACTAACCATGGTGGCAGTCCCCTCAACTGAGAACAAAAACGAACGAAAGACCTTTAAATTTTAGCAAGAACTCTTTGCCGGCGATGATGGAAATGAAGGCAATCACAGTAATTTCTAAGTTCTTTTCACAAGTAACCCTTCACACCGTCACTATTCCATTTTAATAGCCTTCTCACCTCGAGAACCCCTAAAAAATCAAATCGGTAACAGACGGCGCATTAATAACTGGAGGCGACCTTTCACGATTACGTCCCTTCAACCTCCTCGAAACAATAAATAACCTAGAAACCCAGTCTTGCACGCATAATAATTCATTCTGAATCGTCGCACATGCAGGGGGGCAAAATATGGGTGTCACTTATTAGAAGCTGATGTGGAATGTTGACAAGTCAATACAACCCTAGCCAAATCCTCCGTGGCAATTTGAAAAGTCAAAAGCCTCGAAAGAAAAAATTTTGAGCACTCTAAGCCATTGCATTGCTTCAGGCCAATCAAGCCTCGAAAGATTAAATTTTGAGCACTCTAAGCCCTGGCATCGCTCTAGGCCCATCAAGCCTCAAAAGATCAAATCTCGAGCACTCTAAGCCCTGGCATCGCTCCAGACCCATCAAGCCTCAAAAGATCAAATCTCGAGCACCCTAAGCCCTAGCATCGCTCTAGGCCCATCAAGCCTCGAAAGACCAAACTTCGAGCACTCTAAGCCCTGGCACCGCTCCAAGCCCATCAAGCCTCAAAAGATCAAATCTCGAGCACTCTAAGCCCTGACATCGCTCCAGGCCCATCAGCCTCAAAAGATCAAATCTCGAGCACCCTAAGCCCTGGCATCGCTCCAAGCCCATCAAGCCTCGAAAGACTAAACTTTGAGCACTCTAAGCCCTAGCACCGCTCCAGGCCCATTAAGCCTCGAAAGATCAAATCTCGAGCACTCTAAGCCCTGGCATCACTCCAGGCCCATCAAGCCTCGAAAGACCAAACTTCGAGCACTCTAAGCCCTGGCACCGCTCCAGGCCCACCAAGCCTCGAGAGATCAAACTTCGAGCATACAAATCCCTGGAATTGCTCCAGGCCCAATAAGCCTCGAGAAGCCGATCCTCGAGCATCCCAAGCCCTGGCACTTCACCAGGCCCATCAAGCCTCGAGAGACCAACTCTCGAATACCTCGAATCCTGGTGTTATGCCAGACAATACTGTTTTGAAAGGCTGGAGCTCCTTAGCACTGGACGAAGGTAGGATCTTCGTGTTATAGGAATCCATGTTTGGGAAACTTAGGAGGATCTTAGATTGGTGGATGAGAAGTCAAGAAGTGCCTTCGCTCTCAGCAAGACCCAATTAACAAGATGATGGGATTATATATGTCCTGATAGCAAACCTTAAAATCACAATTAATGCTATGTTAGGCTTGACCAACCGACAGCAAAGCAACATTTAATGCCCCTAATTAAGAGAGAAGTGACATGGCAACATAGGACAAGGCTCGAGGAAAGGATTAGACCCTTCAGACTCCTAAATCTCCAAGATTACTCACGTAATCTAGATTGGGGGTAATGCATGCGAGGGACCATGCATGAAAGGAACCATTGGGTAATAAACCAGTGGAATCCAGATCTATAAATGGCACTATCCTATGAAGAAATAACCAACCCCCAGAGGAGGAAAGCTGTCATGAGATATTGTTACTCGCCCTACCACCATCTTTATCTTGATTGTTGATCTTCTTCTCCTCCTCCTACACTGAGCATCTCCTTTGTTTTTCTTCGTATTTGTATTCTTAATATCTCTATTATATTGTTGTTTTATTATCTAGTAGAAAAGAACCCCTACACTTCCAACACCAACACCAAAACTCTAATCATCTGTGGACCACTCACTTCCCCTGACTTCCTGAGCAATCAAAATCTGGAAACCCATTTGAGACTCTCTCTCTCCAAGATGGTTTACAGAGAGAGAAAGCTTAGGATCAACAGGAGAGGGAGGCATACTAAAGTTCATGTTTGGAAACCCAATGACACCTTCACCATCATGATTCTTGATGTGTTGAAGCCTCATTGGATTGAGGGAAAAAAAAAAAAAAAGTAGATGATGAACCCAGGAGTTAAAAGGGGACAGACAAGAAACCAATTCTATTTTACTGAACCCGCAAGGCTCAATTTTCAGAAACAAATTTCAATTAGTTTTAGAAGAATCAGTGGAGAAGAGTACTGAGAGTTTGGAGGTATTTTTCTTGTTTCAAAAGCACAGAAAGTAATTTGCTCAAACCAATTGGTGGTCCATTAGAATAATTCATAGGCGTCACAGATAAGGGCTGTATTACTTAAATGGTAGAAGTCATTATTTTCACTATCAAAGTTTAGGCTCCGTGATGAAAATAACAAGGGAAAGAGTGATCAGTTTTTGTTCATGGAATTATTGAAAAATCAATTGGGAGCTAAATTTTTGTGTCATCCCACGAATTGCAGCTTTGAGGAAGGGATTTGGTGGTTGAATGCTAAGTAGTACAATGCTGCAAACAGAGGCCTTGAGACTGAAAGAGGTAAAATAATGACCAGAAAACAATTGGGTTTCTCTCAAAATCCTCTCCTAGAGAGAAGCTGACTAGAAAATCAGTAAACAAATGAATTAAAAGATTTCATTTTTTTCATACTCTCTAATCTTTTGATGGTTTGCTCAAAGAGAAAGAATGGAGAGAGGAAAGGGATGGAAGAGGAGATCACGACCATGGGGATGACCGATGATCACGATTCACGACTTCTACAGTCGCCACATCCATTGTTTTGTTCAAGATCAATCTCTATCATTTGTCGCCAGTAGGATCTAAACTCCTCGCCGTCAACAACCGAGCCCACCTCGCTCATCGCCGTTGACAAAATCTAGCTGAGCATCGCTCCTCAACATCATGGTCGCCGTGGTTCGGGTTTGGCCGGGTTTCTTCTTGCTCAATCCGATCACTTCACCGTCATCATCATCGTCGGCGTCGATCATTTTGGCAGCAGCTTCTCCGCCGCTGTCTTCTTCTCGGCCTTGGGAGCCATTTTAGAGAGAGAAAATGAATGAAATTTTGAAGAGAGAAAGAGAGCGCTGGGAAAATTGAAGGAATAGGAGGACGGTATTGTCATTTCACATTTTATTTACACGTATCAACAATCTATTTTTCATAGTTAAATATAGCCAAGGGTATAATAGTAAACTCATATTTTTCATATTTTAAAAAAGGGGAGTGAGCAAAATTGGCTGAGGTTTAATATGAGAGCAATAATGTTAGAGCATTTACCCCTTATTAATTTACAGGGGAGAGAGAAATCTTATTCTTTTCTCTTAAATTCAAATGGGTCATGATAGATAGGCCGATCAGTTTGGCAGAATACACGTGGCAGGGGCAGTAAACAAATTAAGCAAATTTTTTTTTTTTTTTTTTGGTAAAGTGGATTCCCTCTTTTTCTCTCTCCTCTCTCTACCAGTGCCACTTCCACGCCTACAACCATCATCACTGCCCAGGCAAGTGAATCTCCGACCCTCATCGCCTCTTTTTGGGCAGCTCTTGCCGAAGCCAAATGGCAATCGACTCCGACCTTGTTTTCACGCTGCTCAGGAATTGCCTATCAGACAAGACCATCGAAAGAGCGATTTTCATGGAATTCAGATTCTCGTAGATAGATGATGGAAACTTTCGCTTACTGATCGATCGATTGAATGAAGATTGGACCGAGGGAAAAGAAAGACTAAAAAACCACTCATGAGAAGCTAACCTCCAGTCAAGAGCAGCCACAATAAAGTCCTCCCGGTTTTTACGTTTCCAGCCAAGCCTGAAATCCATCATCACTTTATGGGGAGTCTAAGGTCCGACGATCTTCTGTCATTCTTGAATCTAGAGAAGAGGGTCAGGCAATGGATTGAGGAAAATCACCAATTGACGCTATTCACTGTGTTATCGAAGGAAGCCCCTTCCTAGATCAAGAAAGTCTTGGACTGCCCTTCCTTGTCTTGCCAAGAAAGGCTTGTATATTAAGCGATTCTAAAATCAGAACTGAACATCATGGAATGCATCTTTCTCTACGCAATTACGAAAGAAGAACATGGACTGTTTGAATTTCATTTGACCAAACTGAACAATAAAGAGCATTTTGAGAAAGAGCTTGGAACAAATTCAGCAAATGGACTCATCAAATAATCAATGAATCGACTCGTTTTTCGCTGATTGCGCTATCTAGCTCATCTGAGTCAAATCTGAATTCTAGAAGTTCACCTCTTATAAGGAAATCTGAATTGAAAAAGAATTCTAGAAGTTCACCTCTTGCCTGTTTCTCTTTCCGATTCCACTTTACCCTTCTTTGCTTTGTACGGTGGGTTTGTTTGTTAGAGAGAGAGGAGAGAGAAATCAACAGATGTTGACAACTGTACAACCACGTATTTTTGCCTAACAAATCTGCTAAAGTAATCTACCCAAATATCATTTTCCAATTCAAATATATCCATATAACAATAAACAATCTATATTTATAATTACACTTTGCATATATCAACATCCTTAATATACCATTAACAAATGCATTTACCACTTATATAACGCACACACATTCAGCTCCCAATTTATTACTTACATAATGCACACACATTCCAATTCATATGGTCCCACATGATAAATATGTAACAAATACAATTATACAAAAGTGGAGTGAGAATTTTCATTCATATAAAAAAAAAAAAAAAAGTGTATCATTTAAATAGGACAACTATCAATAACCATAAAAAAATAGGCAATTAAATTGGTACCGGTGTGTTCATTAATGACTCCAACAACCCAGCCATATAATATAATACACTACGCGTTAAGGGCAATAGCTTCAGCAATGCTGTTGTTCCTCCATGAAGGCCACGCATCGATATGGAGGACTAGACTATATACAGTAGATATTATATTATATACCATATTGTATATATATATTTATTTACAAATAAAATTTATACAATCAAGTAATCAACTCCTGTGACTTGCCTCCTTCCTATCTCTCTGTCAATCCACTTCCCTCTTTAAAATTGGGATATTATTCCCAGTATCGATAGTGATCGAAGAGGATGGAGCACTTTTGACGATCACTGAGTAAAGCCCAGCTCCCAGTTTCAAGATTTTGCATTTTGGTTGGGAAATAAAAAAAAATTCTTCTGAACTCCATCCGTCCCTGTTATTCATTTTGTTCAAGGTAACTTTTTTTACTCTTGGTATTTTTAATTTTAATTATTTTTATTTTCCTTTCAGTATTTTCCCTATTGAGTGGGATGATTGACAAGTCATTATTTTTAGTTCATAAATAGTACTCTTGTTAGGCTTGATTGGGGTAGTCTTCCATATGTTTTTGGATTTTGAATTGATTCAACATTTGTTAATTTGCTTTACTAGACTTTTTCTTTTTCTTTCTTAATAAATAATATTGAAATAAAATTGGTTTATATAATGACCCTATATACGTCTGGAAGCTTCAGAGAAAAGAAAAGAGACAATAGAAGGAGAAGAAGATAATTTACTCTCCTTGTTTGGAATTTTTAAGAAGGAAAAGAAATGAAGGAAAGGTGATAGATCCTTACCAAGCATCATAGTTGTAAGGAGAGGAAAATAGAATAATGTTTCCATTTCCTTCCATTTCTTTCCATCTTCCAGAGTAACAAAAGGCGGGCTAGAGTACTCTTAATCGGGTCTATTCATTTCTTTTTACTCCATACAGAACTCCCAAATAAGGCATCATTATTATACCTTCCCATTTACCTTTTGACAATACTTAGATCCTCACAGTGTGAACCAATAACAAATGAACACATTATCTTTAATTATAAAATAAATCAAAGAACAAATGAACACATCATATTTAATTATAAAATAAATAAATCAAAAAATAATTTCTGATTTGGTAATTAAAGATATACCGCACCATCACTGATTTGATAATTAAAGAGGATGTGACGTGTCCATTTGTTATTGGTCCACATCAGTGGTGAAATGGAGTGCAGGACCTAAGTATTGTCCTTATCCTTGCCCTTTTATTCGGTTGTTTACTCCCATATAGCTTAAGACACATTAAATTTTAGTGGAAGAAGCACACCTCATCCCCGTTTAATTTTTTTACCCTCATAATCGACCCCAAAATCCTCCTGGTTTTTCAAAGCATCCTCCATCCCCGTCCCCATTTACATAATAGGCTCCCCAAAACCGCCCCAAATGGGGCGGGGCCCCGTGAGGTGGGGATTTTTGCCATCCCTACTCATGGCTCTTTTTATTTCACAAGACTTAAGGCATGAAATGAAATGAGGGTTAGAGTTTCCTCCTGTGCGTATATATATACTTAACCTATTTTAGTAATTTATCATAGTATGTAAGGGTAATTTAATAACTTTATAGTATATTTAGGGCGGGGCACCCTCCCCCAAAACCGCCCTAAAATCCATCGTATTTTTCAAAGCAGCCCCCTATCCCCACCCCTATTTACATAATCGGTTTCCCAAAACCGCCCCAAATGGAGCGGGGCTAGGCGGGCCCCCGCCAGGGTGGATTTTTGCCATCCCTAGTTGGAAGGAACGGAAGAGAGTTTAATATTTTTTTTCCTAATATACCCAAATTATATAAAATTATAAAAATTATATATCCATTCCAAATTATGCGATAACAAGGTTAAAAATGGAAATTAAAAACTTGTTGGGTATTATCCTACTTTCTCTCTCCTCTTCCTCCCAAATTTGGGCAGATAGAAAATTACAAAGGAAGGAGGGATGCTCCATCCCTCCTTGCTTCCTCCCTCTTTTCCCTTCTATTCAACCATACACAAAAAACTTATTTTATCTCCCCTCTCATCCATCCCTCCTCAATCATTCCCTCTAACCAAACATAGCATAAGTTTCAATGTAGTATTGTTTAATTGGGCATTATGTATTACATTTACTTTTTTTTTTTCTTTTTCTTCTCTCTAATTTATGGACTCATGAAACATCACATCTCTTCTTTAGGCGCACAGATTTTGGAGTTCTCAATCATCATGCAGTGATCTCAATGTAGTGTGTTCATTCCCTAATGTGTTTCTTGGACCAACATAGCCTGTACTAGTGCTCACTAACTCAAAGCTTCCTCTATTGTTTTACAGTACTTTAACTGGTGGAATAGAGCCAGCTCAATTCACAACAGCTGAGGAATATTGCAGGGACAATTTTTGGTAGATAAAATGGAGAAAACTTATCGAGCTCGTGTCATGGTGTTTCCTTTTCATGGACAAGGCCACATTAACCCAATGGTCCAATTTGCTAAACGTTTGGCGTCAAAAGGAGTCAAAGTCACCATAGCTACCACACTCTCTAACACCAAGACTATGCAAGTTGGAGATGGCTCAATCAAGTTTGAACCAATATATGATGACTGCACTGAAGGTGGCTTGGGAGGACAAGGAGGATTCAAGGGATATCTTGAGAGGTTTGAAGCGAGTGGCTCGCGGAACATAGCTGAACTGATCGGAAAACTAGAGAACTCCGAGTACCCTGTTAAGTGTCTGGTATATGATGCCAATATATTGTGGGCTCTGGATATAGCCAAGCGACTTGGGATAGCCGGGGCTGCATTTTTCACTCAGTCATGTGCTGCTATTGCTTGTTACTACCCCATGTATTACGAGTTATTAGGTGAACCATTGCCCTTGCCTGCTCTCTCGATACCTGCACTGCCAGAGTTTAGAATTCCCAACTTGCCTTCACTTGGTTCTGTCACAGAACGTTATCCCCCAATAATACGTCACATATTGAACCAATTCAACAACATTGATAAGGCAGATTGGGTTCTTTTCAACTCTTTCCATAAGTTGGAAGAAGAGGCGAGTTGAATTCTTCATTGCTTTTGATTGCAACAAGAAAGTAACTTTGAGAAAATTATGTTTTTCATTTTTTGTATGATGTGAAAATATTGTGCTAAAATGTAGGTGGTGAAATGGATGTCAAATCTCTGGTCTGTTGGGTTAGTTGGACCCACAGTGCCTTCTGTTTACCTTGACAAGCGAGTGGACAATGACAACGACTATGGCTTCAATCTTTATGAGCCAAACGCTGATGCCTGCATGAAGTGGCTGGACACTAAGGGGACTGGGTCTGTTGTGTATGTTTCATTTGGGAGTGCTGCAAATTTAAACGAGGACCAGATCGCCGAAATGGCAGCTGCGCTGAGGCAAAACGACGACGACAACAGCAACAGCTTCTTGTGGGTAGTGAAGCCAACCGAAGAGAGCAAGCTCCCTAGTAATTTCGCGAATGAGATGTTGGGAAAAGGGTTGGTCGTGACATGGTGCCCCCAGTTGGAAGTGTTAACCCATCATGCCGTGGGATGCTTTGTAACGCACGCCGGATGGAATTCGACTATGGAGGCAATCAGCTTTGGGGTACCAATGGTGGCAATGCCGCAGTTCTTAGACCAAATTACTAATGCACATTTTGTGGAGCATGTTTGGGAAGTGGGAGTAAAACCCAAGGTGGATGAGAAAGGACTTGCTACTAGAGAAGAAATCCAACGATGCATCCGGGAAATTTTGCATGGAGAGAGAGGAGAAGAGATCAAGAAGAATGCCATTAAGTGGAAGGGGCTGGCCAAGGAGGCAGTGTGTGAGAATGGGAGTTCGGATAAGTATATTGATGAAATTATTGCTCGTCTTGTGCCCACCTAATTACTTGTTTTTAAAGTCTCAGAGATTTCTGGGTTTTTCTTTACCGGGACCTTTTTAAGTACTGGCATACTGAGCTACAGATTCATGGGTTGAGTAGTCCTAATTACAGCAGCCTGATTCTTGTTTGACAATGCCCCATTCTGAGTTATTTGATTTGTTACTTTTGCTAAAGAATTGTATTCGAATAAGAACTCTATTTATCGAGTATTCGAATTCAAAAGTCAACCCTTAAAATAGACATGTCTGTTACTTTGAAATACTGCATGGGAAACATTACTCAAGGTGTTTTATTTTTTATTTTTATTTTTTTTATATGACTATTGGCAATTTGGTGTAGGTTTAACCTTATACCAATCTCACTCCTTTATATTACAATATATCCATCAAATAATTCTCTGAATCTCGTGTGAATCTATCAAAATGGTTATAGATTTTTAGATTTTGTTCAACAGACTCGATAGTTTTTACACGAGTCATTGGCAGTTCAGATAGAAATTTAACAAATAACGGAGGATGGAAGCTCTTCATACCAATTAACTGATTTTTATTCTTCTCTTTCCAGATAAATGCTTCGAGCAAAAAAACAGAAATAAATCTTCAATACACCATGCGTGAAAGGATGTAAGCTCTTCAGATGAATAACTAATTTTTGTTCACCTCTTTCCAGATACAAGCTTTGAGCGAAAACAGAAATAAAGCTTCATGTGCCAAGTTCTAATCATGAATACACTATGTATGAAAATAAGAGGTTTTATTGTTGCAGTGAAACATGTCGTTTCCTTGCCATTAGTTTTGGGTACCTTGCCGCTTAAAGTTGCTGGAACACCCGAGTGTCTCATTTATGTCATCTATACTATGATTAGCAGAACTTAAAAGACTTGACGAGCATGCGCAGAATTGATAGTAGAATGCCTCCTATTGCCATATCTTGACATGTGATGTTCTTGTAACAGAAATCAAGAATATTGTTTAGTGAAATCAGGAGACCAGCCACATTTTTTTTTTTTGATAAGTCAGGAGACCAGCCACATGAAGACGGTTGACCAAAATGTAAGTGAAATTGATGCCAGTGCATAAGTCCAAAGCATAATAACAGAACATTCACTTTCACCAGCTCCAAACAACTGAGTTATGGTGCCTGCAGAAAAAGAAAGAAAAACCCATGAATAAGTTGAAGTTGGAGTGATGTCTCATTCCTTAGACCTGGATTCAATCTTCCCATGAGCTTTGTAGTACTGTTTGCCTAGACCTACTATAAAACTAAATAATAATAATAACAAATAAATAAATAAAGAAGAAGATGAAGATGAAGATGAAGAATAAAGAGGATTCCATGAATTAGTACCTGCTGTAGAAAGTATTTTCTTTTTTGTTAAGCTTTCTATTGGCATAATGGAATTATTCCAATAACCGTACCATTAGGGGGACTTTTGAGGTTTTTCAAGCCTGTTTTATCTTTATTGTGAATAAAAATAATAATAGTAATATTTATTCATTATTAATAATAATAATTATTATTATTACGACAAACGTAGCGAACCCAAGCAACAATCACGAAATACGACAGAAAAGTAAACGCACCACACAAAGAACACAAAGATTATACGTGGTTCGGCAAAGCCTATGTCCACGGTAGAGATCTGACGAAAGTCTTCACTATGTGTAAAATCGGAAATTACAAGTTTCAGCCCCTCACTCTCTTTTTGTACGATTTTCAGTGTCTCTTGATGATACACTCCAAACCCTAAGCACCCTTATATATCAGGCTACAAGAGTACTAATTAGGGTCGTAAACGGGTCACAACGCGACCCAACACCAAATTTAGGCCACAACATCACAATAATAATAACAACAATAACAATAATAATAATAATAAATTTATTAGTATTATAACTATACTCATCTCATAATCCTTGCCTTAATCTAGATCGGCCACGAGTTCTCTTTTTCCAGTTTGTTCTATTACAAGAAATCTCTCCTGTTATAAATACCCCAACCATTCTGATACATACAGAAATCAATTCTTATACCAAAATTCTGCCAATTGAATACTCAACAACTATTATCAATCTTTTTCCCACTTTCCCGTATTTCCCACACTTCCCATCACTTCCCCAGAAAGTTTCCATGAAGTCTCGAAGACGTTTGAAGATCACACAGTGCATTCCCATTGAAGTGAAGATTAAAGAATTCTATAAGAAATAAAGATGTTAGAGTTGGGGGAACGATGTAAAATATTGTGTTGTGCGTGTATGTGTATGTGTATGATTGTTATCTCCATATATGCTTGTGCGATTATGTAATGATGATGCTTCCGCTGTCTATAATGAAGGAGGGATTTTAACTCCCAACAAGCTGACCATTGAGTGGGTTTGGAGGGAGTTAATATCCCTAACAGTGCAGCCCAAGAACAAAGACAAGACCAAAAAAAATGTATCAGCAATAGCTAAGTCATAACTTTTGCAAATTCCAAGAGTGTTTTTCTTGTCTCATTTTGTACTCCAAAGCCATATCCTCCATGAACTCGTTTTATATCTTATCCTCCATCACCTCAAATATGCTTTCATTATTGAGAATAGATTGCATCATTTCATCCATCAACTCCTAAAGGACCTTTCTTGTAGTTTCATCTAATGCTCCTCGAGGAGCAGATGCACTAATTATAAAATATGTATCTAGAACAACTTTAATAGCTATTAATACTGTCCGAGTGTATTTTTCTCCAACTATGTTCCATTTAGTTTCTGGTAAGCAAACTATGTCCACAAGTTCATTGCACCTACGCCAGGTTCCTAGATTACATGTTTTTTTTTTTTGTTAAAAGGGTAAGCTTCCTAGATTACATGTTGCTATCCTAATTTTTTGTTTCCTATAGTTTTGATTTTTTAATGAAATGAGAATTCATCAAAAGACTAAACAAAAAGTTTACAGTCGGTTGTCTATTTGACACCAGCCCGCCTCTTTCACATTAAGCCATGGGTACTGACAATAGGAGAGCCAAATAACCTAGGTGTTTACTTCTTAGCAACAGCCAAAAGTTTTTAATTTTCGATCAATTAATTAAAAAACAGAATATCACACAATAAAAGCAACTAAGTAATCAGTCATTGCATACCAAGTCTGTAGATGCTAGAAAACAATGTCAGACAACTTACCAAAACATAAAAACCAAATGTATACATTACAAATTAGACATAGTACTATATGGCCTATGTATGGTTTATTTATACATGAAGCAATTATGCCAAAAAAATCAACCCAAATGTCCAAGGCAAACCAATTAGGCTATTACATCCAATACAAATTGAAAATCTGGAGTAGAATATACTAGAATTTCAATTTGAAAGCTATTCAGCAACAAAAATAATTCAAATGCAGCAAAATACAAGCTAATTAGATCCAAAAACAAGCCCCAACTATTTATATGTATAAAAAAAATAGATTATATATATACACACACAATCTATGTTGCATGGACTCGGGTATAGGTAAGCATCCATGCGACAGACTTTTAAAATCCGTGAATAGAAGGACATGTGGACATTGCTAAATATTCATTTTATTCTATTTTCTAAAGCAAAATAATGTATTCAAGTAACATAGTGTTTAATATATGGACATTTCATTCATTTTGAAGTAATAACATAATAAAATTGAATTATTGGATATGTTCTCTGGGTGCATGTCTAACCAAAAGTGTCGAGCACATATCCCATACCCATGTCCGAGTAATGTATGTCCAACACAGGTACTTAACCTACTTTTGAAGAGTCCATGTAACATAGTAAACAATACATATACATGCAACAATTGAAAATCAAGAACTGAGGTTATGCTGTTGTTGCATATCCAACAATAAATGTGTATAAATATTGTTATAGTTTTTACGTGTGTATGTATGTGTGTGTGTCTGTCTATATATATCATGTATAAAGAGAGAAGAGAATCGATTTTTCAAGTCCAATATATCCTTGATCACTAAAATTGGCAACCACGCTTGTGGGATTGCTTCTTTCTTTTGCCTTGAAGCTGTCTTGGCGATTGTTTTGCATAAGATGGATAAAGAGAGCAGATTTTGAGGGTTGAGAGTGACGGGCAATCTAGATAATCACCTTTGTCACTGATTTAAGAGTTTAGGTTTTGAAGAGAGAATCTGAGAAAAAATCCGAGAGAAAACAAGAAATCTAAGAAGCACAGAAACGGATACGGGACACCAATACGACACGACACAGATATGGCGAAACGGCAAATCCTAAAAAATTAGGACACGGATACGACAGGGACACGGCAAATAATAAATATATATTATATATATATGATGTTGCACTTTTAAAAATTAAGGGTAATATTAGTTTTTATAACCTCATAATGAAAAAAAATTTGTGTTTTGCTGGAAAAAAAAAAAAAAAAGAGGATTAGGGTTTTGTTAGAAAAAGAATCAGGCCTTAGTTAAAAATAAAGGTAAGAATCCATAAAAGAGAAAAAGTCTCCAGGGAATAAAGGAAAAAGGAAAAAGAAATTTATTCTAAAAGGAAAAAAAGAAGTATCTAGGATTTGTGAAGAACAAGAAGAAGAAATAAAAGAGGAGGACAAAGAAGAAGAAATAAAAGAGGAGAAAGAGATAGAGAGACCATCCACCGGTAGCGAAGCTTGGTTGGTAGGAGAACAAGAGAGTCAAAGATGATCGTGCAAGAGTTCGAACCTTGAACTAAAATATAAGGATAAATATCTAATTGTTTTAATATAAATTGTTTAATAAAACAACTTTTAACTAATTATGTAATTACTATGATGTTGTGGCCCGAATTTGGTGCCGGCTTGCAACCCAACGACTCATTGGAGGAAAATTTTTGAACCGTTTTTTTTTTTGCTCATGGGTAGTGGACCCTAATTAGTCTCTTGTAGCCCAATATATAAGGGCGCTTAGGGTTTGGAGTGGAGGAAGAGAGAGAGACTGAAATTCATACAGAAACAGAGTTGGCTTAAAACTTGTTATTTCAGATTTCACACATAGTGAAGACTTTCGTCGGATCTCAACCGTGGACGTAGGCAGTTGCCGAACCCCGTATAAATCTTTGTGTTTTTTGTGTGGTGTGTTTACTTTTCTGTCATGATTCTTGATTTTATCTTGGGTTCATTGCGTTTGTCATAACAATTACCATCAAATTGCTGAAAGTAATTAAACAACTACTAATATGTATACTTCAACTCAACATTGTTTCTAAAACTTTCTTAAAAACCCCCATAACAATTACCATCATATTGCTGAAAGTTATTAAACAACTCATAATATTTATACTTCAACTCAACATTGTTTCTAAAACTTTCTTAAAAATCCACAAGAATGGGACACGTGTGTTGAACACGTATCCATGGCGTGTCGGACGCGTGTCCACGGAGTATCTGGATATTCAAGAAAATATAAAATATTTGTACATGTTTTTTGACGTGTCCGAGATGTGTAGTGTCAGTGTCCGACATGGAAACTTTGCCCTTTTAGGCAAGTTAGTGCTTCCTAGCAAGAAATAATCGATCATGCATAGAGAGAGAGAGAGGGAACCCAATTCTCCGATAGGGTATTACAACTATAATAGAAGAAATACAAGATATATATAAAGGCTTAAATGAGAATAATCATGCATTCACAGCTCTAGTATTTATATACTAAAAAATCACATGCTATTATTACAAGAAATGAAACTAAATAAAATCACTCAGATTCTATGTCTAGACATATGCGTAAATAAAGTCAAATTCCATGATCTTAGCTATTATCATATGATTTTAGGCTATCATATCTCGGCTAACAATAATTATAATAATAAAAGATTTGGTAAATATGTTGTTAAAAACTGTATTCTTTCTTTTTTTATAAAAAAGAGATTAAAAACAAAAAGAACATGGTTTGGTACACTGCACATTTTAAAGTTCAGAATATAGATACATTTAAAAAGGGTGCCTTACAGTTATTTTGGTAAGTACAGCCATACAAAACACAAGGAGCATACCCGAGGAAAGTAGCTACACAAACCAAAGAAGCAAAAAGAATATAAATGGGAACCCAATGAAAGCCAAGTAGACAGCAGCCACTAAAGACCACAAAACAGATCAGCAGAGCACAAGAGGCTCAATTGAAG